GCTGCGCGCACGGCGTCTTACATTTTTAAGTCTTATAATTCGCCGCTATCGCGTTACTCTGTCGAAAAAAGAAGAGACAGAGAACGAGAGAGCGAGAGAGAGAGAGAGAGAGAGAGAGAGAGAGAGAGAGAGGGGGGGGGGCAAGGGAATGGATTTGGTAAACTTTTTATTTTTCTTTACAAGTTTGTAATCGACCTACAGGTATAATCTTGTGTTCAGCAAAAGAGAATATTTAATGATTAATTGTTTCCGGTCAATTGCTTTCAATGTGCTTTCGCGTTTCAATTTTCAGTGAGCTATTTCACGATATTTTTCGATAAAAGAAAGAAAAAAATTTGCTGGCGTTCAATGATTTTATAAATTATTGATAGAGGAGCTTCTTTCTTTCAATTATGAAAATATCTGCTACGAGCACAGTACATGCTCCTTTATAAAATCGGTCCTTCGTATCTTCAGCATCTAGGATGTGTCGTGCACCATTTTTCGCAGATTTTGCCGATTCGCGACATTCATCGCTGCTCGAATTTGTCAGTATACTTACAGCGTATTGCACTATCATACCGACGGGCTGATGGATTTGATGGACAATTTGAGCGCCTCTTTGGCGTACAGCCTCTGTTACTCTTTAAACTGATTATCTTCTGGATCCATCGACGGTGAGTCAATCTGATTACTCTCGCTTTAAATCGCTTTCTTTCACATGAACCAAGTAGATATCAACTGTTACTCCGTAAGGTTTGTTCAGCATTCGTTTTTCCATACGGTGGAGAAAATTTCGCGCTAATAATCTTGATAACGATGAGTTACAGATTGGAAAGGAAGCGCAAAAGGATCCGTTCAGCATGCACATGACGACGAACGTGGCTAATCTATCACATCGCCTTTCGAATGTAATTATCGGCCTTCATATGGCCGCCGTAGTGACCTATAGTCTCGGCGTAATTTTGTCCACTACCGAGGGTGATAACTTTAATACAACGACTGCTCCCGTTCGAGCGCTCATCCTGAGCACGGAATTTCCCTTCGACAGCAACAGCTCGCCCGTGCTCGTAATGATCGCGCAATTTTTTCACGTGGTAACACAGGCATGCGCGAATGACGCGCTAAACGCTTTAATCACGACGTCGGTAAGCCCCAAGATTTATTGCTAAATTTCGAGATAATTTTACGTGACATAATCATCATCAACATACTAGTCTTTTAATCAGAAATTCCCGATAGCTGGATCTAGATGAAAAATTTTGCGGTCAATTCGGGAAAATTAAAATTTTAATTAATGTTTTAATTAATGTTAAAAATAATATTGCGTTTAAAATTATATATGATAATTTTACTGTTGTAATTAAAAACACGTGCATATGTAAAAGAAAGGAACACGAATCAAATTTTTTTGTTTTGCGTAGTTTATAATAATTTAACAGTCTCTCAATAATTTAACATCTCTTATCTTTTCCATAGAATTTTCTTTGTATAATTGATAAATATTCTTTAACTGTGAATATCCTATAATCACATATATACAAAATAAAATAAAAATATTTGAAATAATTTTTTTTATACAAAGAGTTGGTATGTATCTTTTTTCCAGCTCAATTAAGACTTGTATGTGTATATGCGTCTGTTTCAATGTTACATAGTTATATAAAATGTTATAAGATTTAGCTCAATAGTTATTTTCGTTTTATTGTTATAATTTTTAGGTATTTTATGTTGGTGGTCAAATCGACATCTTACGGGAACGATTGATAAACGTTTTTTTTTCGTAAGAACGTGCACGATTTAATTAGAATCGCAATGATTCAATAGTAATAATCTGATACGGAAACATCCGATTATTAGAACATCATTTATATGTAGAAAATGTTGAGGGTCTCTGTTGTTACATCGTGTTCATGTAATTTATATCGAATACTTTCATCATTTGCGCCGTCGGATTTGTCGCTATTGTGAGTAAAAAATTGTAAAAATAAGAAATTAATTCTTATCAACAATTTTATGACTTTTGATCGATGTACTAAAACTAACGAAAACTAAATTATTAATGACACAATTAAAATGTTGAAAAGCTAAACAAACGATTTGAATTTTAAATGGGAAAAGTGTTCCAACCCTACACATTAGAAAATAATGCCATTCTCTTAAGGAATACCATTCTCCCAATAATATTAAAAAGGAGGAATCATGGTATGTAGGAGAAAGATGTGAAAAGGGTGTAAAGAATATTAATGCCAATAATGCGGTCAATAAACGGTCTAGACGTTTCCACAATATTGATAAAGACTCTACTGTTTTACATCGTTATAAACCTCGAGGCGTTTGGTTTTTGCTTTACCGGAGAATACCTAAGTACAAAGGTCAACGTATAATGTTAACTTAACAACTCGATTTCGTAATCCATTTTAAAGTCGTCTATGAATATATAACGTTCATTTTGGCAACATTTAATTAATACCTGCCCTGTAAACTTTAATCTTAACAATCGAGTATATTATCTATATTTTTTAACTGATTTAACGACTGCAGTTACGCAGGGATTAATGACGACTGGCTTTTGTTTATATACATATGTATGTAGCTTTACACACACACGCGCGCGCAGAGAGAGAGGGAGCTTTAATTCTTTTGTCGTGTTTTACGTAACATGTAAATTATTTTTAATGGTAAATAATTAGCTTTTCTGCTTTATTCGGTTTTCAGAGTCAGCATATCGCGGACGCGGCTTACGAATCTCTTTGATACGATATGCACGCGAATAAAAGTGTGATATTATTTCTGATGCCAAAATCGCAAAAACGATTAATAATCACAATCGTTGATTGTCGACGATATTGTTATCCTTTTTTCCTTGATTATTATTACTATAGATTGTAAAAGCATCGGCGTCTTATGTATCTGTACTGCTGGCCACGTCCTGAAAAAAAGAAGAATTAATTACGGTTAGTTGCGAAGGATTATAAATCTTAACATTTAGAAATTGATGAAAAGAGATAATATTTATGCTTTTAGTTCTACAGTTTATACGCTTTTCTTGTTCACCACATTTCGCATTGTCACTCCGAATATCTCACTGACCGCGCGCACATGAAAATGAAAAATACACACATATTTATACTGTTTTATATTTTACTCTTTATCCCTGATTATTTACTCTCTGTTTCTCGACATATCTGACTGCTTATATTTATTTTATCTGTCTTATTCTAATTACATTTTGTCATCTCTTTTATTCGTCTTTTAGCATAATTTCTCTCTCTCTCTCTCTCTCTCTCTCTCTCTCTCTCTCTCTCTCTCTCTCTCT